ATATTAGGGGGGCACTGACCTGACATGGTTATTGTTATGGACATACAGTGTGTAAATGACCATCAACAGACTGAGCACAGTCAAACACGCTGCTCACACAGCAGCGCAGCACGGAACTGTACACACAGCGGAGCGAGCATATGTTGCGTTCAGGTGTTGTCACGTAAATGACAAATTCCAGCGCCATAGCACAAAACAGCAGCATGTCAAGTGGGCTTACCTGAGCAAAATTGCTCAATTTTTCATTTGTTATGGAGTCCATGATTTCCATGTGACACTTACAAATGTTTGCTTAACTGTGCTTGGATGTTGTTTTATGAGGCTCTGGCGGCTTTCAGTTGTCTCATTGTCTTTAACGTTACACAGCTCGGCTTTCTTTCGTGTGCACTCTTCCTACTTTTCCCTGTGCTGTGCTGTCTCAAGTGTTGATATAGATTGGCTGTGTTGCCGTGGGACGTGGCGACTTTAACTTTTACACTTGAACAGCACGTCTTTCTGTTCAACATAGCCATACCTGAATCCAAAGTATCGCCATGTAACAGACGTTTTTTTCGGCACCAACTCAGGCTGTTCATGGTCGAGCTCATGCTCTTCTTCAGTGTCTGTGTTGGTCACTGCTGCACGCCGGCTGCACACACCAGGATAGCTTGTGGGCGTGATGTCAACAAACTCCACACACTACAGGAGAGGCAGTCACATTCACAGGTACACATGTTAACATTTATTTAGCCTACATTAAATCGCAAATCGCAGCCTTTTATGCGGTTATGTAATCACACAGCCTGACATCGCGATTGTGACTGCGATTAGATTAATCATGCAGCACTAGTTTCTACCATCTTTTTCCCCCGTTAAAGGGGTTTTTGGGGAGTTTTTCCTTATTCGCTGTGAGGGTCCAAAGGACAGAGGGATGTTGTATGCTGTAAAGCCCTGTGAGGCAAATTGTGATTTGTGATATTGGGCTTTATAAATAAAACTGATTGATTGATTGATGAGTAAGATAGATTGGGAAGGGTCCTTGAAATTGGGACGAGTAGGATTAGAGATTAACTGAGAAAGTCCAAGATCAGCATAGATGGACTTTAGACTATCTGATTCTGTGGACATCCAATTTAAGTTCAGGTCTTCCCTTTCTTTTTCCTCTTCTTCTAGTCACTTCTAAAGTCATGAAAGTAGTTAAATTCTCAAATAAGGCAGCATCTGCCAGGCGGAAGGGGGACGATAAATACCAACAACCTTAAAAAGAGCATTCTGACTTAATTCTTTGTTCAAAATCAATAGTTCATATTGTTTTGGCACAGACATACTAACAGACTGGGATTCTTTGATGTTATTTATTACATAGATTGCTAGACCTCTGCCCATAAGGCTGTGGGGGCGAATAGCAGCTCTAAGGGTTACCGGCCTGATTACTGATCTTAAATTGCGGTGGTGAGATGAAGATGATGATTCCCATTGAGAAGCAGTGGACATGTGGTGAAATTCACTGGAGACCAGGACTGAGGTTTTGTCATGGGAGTTGGAAGGGGCTCTGGGTTCCTAACTAATGGAGGAATTTCATGTGAATCAAGGATGTCATATTGATCCGTCAACTTTTTTTGTCCGTTTGCCAGAGTATGCAATGAGGGAAAGGAGAGTCCCCCCCTCTTTTTATAGCCACTGACTACAGTTCAGGGCTGATGATGTTGATGTGATGGAACAGAGCTGGACAGGGCTTTAGGTTTAACCCTGAGCTACATCCAGGAGTCCTCAGGGATGGTGACTTGAATACAGACAGGAGCAGCAGCTGTAGCAGTGGCAGACTTGTGCAGGGCAGAAGACGATAGTGTTTAAGTATCTCTCAGCCTACTGGATTTTGTATTTTATCTTTACATGGCAAATAGTTGTTTGCTGCTATATTAGTTCTCACTTTAACACCAACCACAGCGCAGAGAAAGAAAGAAAGAAAGAAAGAAAGAAAGAAAGAAAGAAAGAAAGAAAGAAGATCCAGCTGATAGCAAACTGTTTCTAATAAACTGAAAGAACAATACCTGTTTATGTCTAATGTTCTAGCTTAGTTTGACACATATCTTTAAAATTACCTGTGCAAATGTTACCTGCAGGCAGTCAATCTCCTAAGCAGCAGAGGGAGTAGCAGAGAGGACAGGAGGACTGATACTGACTGATGTCTGTACTCTTTAATCTTTCTCAACTTTAATCAGTATTGTGATGTCAGGAATATGATTTATTTTATTTACATTTTAGATTTGTTTCCAGTGAAATATTTACTTTATATTGTGACTTTGCTGTTTTAGTATTATTGTTGCTGCTCTAAAAACATTTTGTTATAAAATATTCCATTTTAATCCTTTTCTGAATTTATTCTTTTTGAAAAATACTTCCATGTAAAACTTACAGTATTCGTTTTCTAAGAATCTCTTTATAGTAAAAATTGGTATTGTAACTAAAACATAACCAATCAAATCAAGCCCTATATAGGACATTATTAGGTTTCAGGCAGAACCATACTGAGTTTGTGCAAGTTTGTTATTATTATTATTATGTATTATATTAACATAATAAAGGTTTGGATCATGATAGTGTTAGCACTGACTCAGCATTCACAGTATTGCACAGGGCTGCCCCCTTTGAAAGTCGGAGATTTGAATCGTCGGTCGAAGACCCCTACACTGACTAAGATTGCTTCAAGTTGAGCAGTTCTTTAATTTTATTTGCTAGTCAGAGTGCTATGCAGTGTATTTCTGGGGACCAAAACATTTTCATTAAACACTGTCTTTTCTGCTGGGAAGTGGTGAATTTACAGCTCATGTATGGTCTTTGTTTGATATCTAGTGTTGGCAAAAAATGTTGTTGCACATTTCCGAACCGTCATTAGTGCAGTTAGCTTGTTTAATATATTACATGATTGCCACTGTCACACGATTGCTGCAGTTTTAATACTTTAAACTTCTAATGGAAAAAAATAATTGTTGAATATTTGCGTTAAATGGCTGAATCCGGTTCAACTGACAAAATTCTGAGTTCGGTACAGCCCTGCTATTGTGATCCAAGCCTTTATTTTGTGAATGCTAATTCAGTATTCACACCATTATTGTCTTTATTATTTTTCTTCTTCCATATATATTTTTCAGTTACTGTCAACTTCTGCATACTTTCAACTACAGAAACCATTCAAATATCAAAATGATCAGCTCCTTAGGTATGTTTATGCCATGACTTTTCTTGTTCTATCATTTATAATTTTTATAAAATTAAGCTTTTCCAACTTTTTTTTTTTTTTTTTTTTTTACAATGTAACCCAATGGAGAGACTCCTCCTAAATCTACTTCACTTTGAATTTCTACCACTTCTGCATACTTTCAGCTATTACTTAATTTAAACTTTAAACAGGTCACAAGGCTATGATTATGACAGGTTTAAAATACAGTGACCAGACAACCCCCGATTTCCGGGGACAGCCCCTGATTTGGGTGACCTGTCCCTGCTAAAAGCTGTCCCTGAAAATGTCCCCGATTTTGACACTGAATGGGGGAAAAATGCGCGCAGACTTAAACACCTGTTATTACGGTAGTCAGTAAACGCATCGCCGGAGAAGACGTTGTATGATGTACAAACGTTATCAGGAAGCACGACCAGACGCAGCAGCATTAACAACAACAATCTAGAGGCGGCAAAAAGGAGAGAAAAGGAGCCCAGCGGCCGCGTTAAATGGTATGTTGTGTATGAACTTATTTATTTTGTGTGAGCTGGCAGTAGACTTGACTCTGTGTGTGTGTGTGTGTGTGTGTGTGTGTGTGTGTGTGTGTGAAGTGAGGTAAAGTAAGTATGATTGTAACATGCAGTGCATAACATGCAGGAGAAACTGGAACTGAATGTAGTCTGTCCCCCTGATGAGTGACTTTTGTGAGTGCACTTTATAAATGTAGGCTATTCTTTGATTTTAATTAAGTAGCATTTTGTTGATGTTGTTTAGCCTTGCTGATGCTGTTGCATGGGTGATAGTTACTTTTATTGTATGAAAAAATCATATCTGCAGTAGAAAGTTGCACTTTGGAAATTTGGTTTGGTACATAGTGGTACATGGTCTGAAAGGTTTAAGAACCTCTGATGTAGCACATTTCAAACAGAGTCAATTACATAGATTACAGCAGATAAAAAAAGAGCACAATGACTACATTATATAAGTATATTACCAAAACTGATGTTATTTCTTTAAGAAACTATTCACTTACTATTGGCTCTGTTCTTGCAGTTTTTCTCATGTTCTACCCAGGCTCCTGAGGCAGAGGCTACAGAGGTGGATGAATGAGGGGATCACGGGGATGTCACCTATTTTTTTGATTGCCACCTTTTGTGTCATAAATATTAGTTCAGTATTCAGGTATGAGTAGAAACCTTCATCCTAACTCAAGCTAACAAGATTAAGGTATTTCTGTCTTCCTCAGTGGATGGATGGTTGGTGATGTCACTCATTTGTTTGATTGCAACCTTTTGTGTAATAAAAGCTGGTCAAAATACATGAAAAAGTACTTCTCCCCGTTTTTTATTTCATAATGATAATATTTAATGATTCTTCACCGCCGCACTGAAAATGTTATTTTCATCTCAGAAATCTGGTCACCTTAGTTTAAAACTACCTCTATCTGCCCTACCCCTGAGCTGCTTTCCTCTGTTTGCTGGGAAGGGACGAACCCGGAAATGCCACTTGCGGCTCTATTTTTATTTGCCAATTTTGTAATGTGTAGGTACGTTAACGTACCTATACAAGTAGCTGTTTCTCTCATTGCATTGCTTTACCCTCTTACATATGTAATGTGCAAAAATAGATATACAAATGGTTTAAACTCATGGAATATTTGAATGTTATTTATAGGCAATTTTGGCACCATTATATAACCAGGTCTGTACATATACATATATATGTTTTCAAATGCATTCAAGCCTTATCTCCATGACTAGAAAAAAATATATATAACAAGGTAATATTTAACAAAAGTTACCATGTGGAATTTATTATAGACATCAGTGAGTCCATCCTTGACAATAAGGTCTTCCATCCTTACTCCTCCATAGGCTGGGGTCTCTCTGGACATTACATAAGGAACATTGGACATGCTCTCCATGCCGCCAGCCACCATCACATCCTGAAATCACATAGACAGCCATACACTTACCTGCAGTCAATACTACAGTCTATTGTTCATAGTTTGTCTCATACTGGCCCAACTGCTGTTATCTCTGTAACAGATGTTGGATGTATATGAACTTTTCTATCTCACTGTTTTACAGGTTTTGGATAATACTGCAAGAGTTGTGTAAGAGTTTGCAAATGATAGGGGGGTCCATCACAGGTGTCATTGTCATTTTTTATTTTGTTAATGGAATTCTTCACTGACTGTGGAGGCATGTGAGAAAAACAGTTTTCTTAAAGGTTTGAAGCTACTGTGGGTTGAGTAACTGATATAAAAAGAGAGTAATCCTATGATGCTACCTGGTGTCCACACATCAGACTCTGAGCTGCCATCATGATGGACTTCATCCCAGAGGCGCAGACTTTGTTGATGGTTGTTGCTGGAGTGCCGAGGGTCAAGCCTGAAGATACAGTCAGACAGATTTGTATGGGCAAATTTGTGTGTGTGTACACACACATATTATATATATATACATATATATATACATATATATATATATATATATATGTATC